CAGATCCTTGCTCCATGGATTCCCGTGTGTTCATGGGGAATCTGAACACTCTTGTGGTGAAGAAATCTGATGTAGATAGAGGATATCTTCTTGAGGCATGGTAAAGTGTGGGTTGCTTCGTTCATAAGAGCTTTGCCTTTGTCCAGTATGTTAATGAATGAAACGCCCAGGCTGCTGTAGCTAGAGAGGATGGCAGAATGATTGCTGGCCAAAAGCAAGTGTGAAACAATCTTCAGGGAGATGTATAGGTCAGTACCAAAACACCCTTCTCTGTCCCCTCTACTCCACTCCTATTTTGACTCGGACTTTGACTTTCAACGTGATAATTATGACAGGATGTACACTTACCCAGCACATGCTCCTCCTCCTCCTCTTATCTCTTGGGATATAGTGCCCTTAAAATGCCAGTGTATCAGGAAACACCTCTCGAAGAGGCAAAAGTGGCTTCAATTCCAAGAGTGGCCAGCAGGGATCCTCGTTCAAGTCTGGAAAGTTGAAAGGTGATGACTTTCAGGCCATTAAGAAGGAGCTGGCCCAGATAACCCAAAAAGTGGATTCTTTACAGGAAAGCCTGGAGAAAATTGAAAAGGAACAGAGCAAACAAGCAGTGGGGATGGAGAATGATAAGACCGAAGAGGAACAGACCACAACCTCCCAGGAGAAAGATGAGGCTAATGTGAAGATGGAGTTTGAGGGTGCTGTGGATGACTGCTGAGGAGGGGAATATACTGGATGATGATGAAAACGAAGATCGGGTGGAAGACCAGCTGGAGTTGATCAATAATGATGAAAAAGAATCTGAGGAAGGAAAGGATGACAGAGACAGCACCAATGGTGAGGGTGACTCTTAAGCACCTAGTTTGGTTTAGAAGTCTTGTCCCATTATTTCTTTATCTAGGCGCTTGTCTAAGATCAAATTTTCACCAGATCCTCTGCCCTAGTATCTTCAGCACATTCTCACTGTTCTCCCTGTGTTCTAGCATGTACATAATTGCCCTGTGCATAGTACCATTTTCACTTCCTTTGATGATTCTAGTAGTTTCATTAAGTTTTCTCCTGTAATTTTTGTTTTCCTAAATTTTGATAACTCTTTATGACTTAACAATAAAAAGATTGGATGGCTTTTGTCAGCTGTCTCCACAATAATCTGTGCAAAAACTTATAATTGTTTTGTTTTTTTACATTTCTAGAGGGATTTAGAGTTTAGAATATCCATAGTTTCTGGAAAATAGCAGCTCCATGTTATATCTAAGGAGTCTGATAGACAGATGATGATGTTAACATCGACTGCCTCTGTTACAGGGTAATAATGTCATTAAACTTCTCTTCTGGATGTTGAACAACTAAAGTTTGCAGATCAAAAATTAGAGAAAAAAAGGGGCTACAAAGATAGCCAATATTTTTGCCGTCACCCTTCAATGTCAATGAGGTCTCAGGAGAGAAGAGAACCTCTGCTGTGATATCTTGTAACTCAGTGGTGTCCTAAATTTTCTGATGAAGGAGATTATGGGGCCACAGAGGAAAGTGATCAATGATGCAGAGTGTGCCTAAGGAGAGTCACATGGAGAGAAAACATTCTCTCAGGCTTTCACAGAGAGCACATTGGCCAAGCAATGGCCTTGACTCATCCACATGGCTGACATTGACAAAGGATCTACAAACTGCAGTACAGGGTTACAGGGTAAAACCTGTGGGGATTTGACTGACCTTGTCAGGTATAGGTCTTGCTTTATCTTGGTCTTAACCTTCCAGCAGAAAAATGTAATCATGCATGTGGTATAAAAGTAAAGCCATATTAATATGCTGAGCTGTAAAAGGCTCAGGTCAACAACTTTGGACAACTGCTAGTTGTGGTGATAACCCACTACTAATATGGACTATTGGGCTATATTGGATTACTTTGCTGAATTCAAGTACCTACAATATTTGAGCTGGCATCAACTATGAAAAGGTCCTTGAAAGTCTTTGCCAAATACAGCTACTCTTACAGCAATGGAATACCCATCTCTGAAAAAAAAATATTTCAAAAATGGGGATATAAATAAAAGACTATTTTTAAAAGAAATTTAAATATCAAAAGTATACCTGGAACAGGAATGAGGAAAAGGACAAAAGAAAGAAATGGAAAAGATATATCTATGTATAATTTCTATGTATAATTTCTCTTAATTGGTGAATTGAGTCCATTTACATTGATGGTTAGAATTCAGATAATTTTGATAATTTTACTACTAATTTCTGCTTGTCTATTGAAAGGCACAGTTAATGCTTACTTTTTATTATTTTATTTCATTTTAGTTTCTTTTAACTTTTTTGGGTGTTTTTTATTTTGTTTTAAACCAATTTTGCAAAGTTATATCTAGTAACCTAAACAGCTAATTTGAAGTTAACATCATGCAGTACAGCACCCACTGCTGAATTCCTATTACTTTGTTTAGTGAAATTTTGTATAGTTACTGTTACTGTTTTTCTTATTGGTATTTTGTATCCTTTAAAAAATAAAATATATTTTAAAAAAAGAAAAGCATAACCACAAAGTATAAAAAGTAATGCCATATTAATACCCTGAGCTGGAGACAGTCCTAGCCCAGGCCTGGTGAGTGTGTGGGAGAGCTTCTTGCTACCCTGTGCCAGTGGGAGCTACTGGTCCCAGCCCAGGTGCAGCATGGGTGAAACCCTCTTCCACCTCACTGGGATGCCCCCATCATTCCGTAGTACCCCCACACCCCACCCAACGAGAAGGAATTTCTGCCGCGTTCTGGGCACCCCCAGATCCAGTCTTAGCCCGGGCCCAGTGAGTGTGTGGGAGAGCTTCCGGCTACCCTGAGCTGCTGGGACCTACCCCAGCCCAGGCACAGCATGGGTGAGACACTCTTTCACCCCCTTGGGACTCCTTCCACCACTTTACAGCACCTCCCCTACACCGCCAGCCCAGTAGGAATTTCTGCTGCGTTCTGGGAACCCCCAGACCAAGTCCTAGCCCAGGCCCGGTGAGTGTGTGGGAGAGCTCCCTGCTACACTGCGCCTGCAGGATCTACTGGTCCCAGCCCAGGCACAGCGTGGGTGAGACCCTCTTCCACCCCCTTGGGATGCCCCCCAACACTTCACAGCACCAACCCCACCCCACCTGCTGAGTAGGAATTTCTGCCCTGTTCCAGGAACCCCCAGACCCAGGCCTAGCCCAGGCCTTGTGAATGTGTGGGAGAGTTTCCGGCTACCCTGTGCCAGCGGGACCTACTTGTCCCAGCCCAGGTGCAGCATGGGTGAAACCCTCTTCCACCACCCTGGGATGCCCCCCATCACTTCGTAGTACCCCCCACCCCGCCAAGTAGGAATTTCTTCCATGTTCCTGGAACCCCCAGATCCAGTCCTAGCCCAACCCAGCAAATGTGTGGGAGACCTGCCTCTCCCCACTACTCCACCTTGTCCCCTACAGACTCAGCTCAGGCCTGGCATATAGGCCTGGGGTGAAACCCTGAAGCTGCAATCCCTACAGAGAGTGTAGGGGACAGAACCACCAAGCTAGTCCAAGAGCAGAACATCTTGCCAGAGGGTCACAACAGGTTCACCCCCAAGGGCAGCAGCAGGAAAGAGCTGAGCACAACAGCCAGACCCAAGCCAGGCACAGCTGGATAAACCCAAACTTTGCAGATCTGCACGTAAACTTCAGTAGGTGCTAAGGTTATAATGGCAACAATGTTCTACAACAAAGGTCAGAAAATGACGAGAAGGAACAAAATGAAATCTCAGAACCCAAGCCCACCCATAACAAGTGCAGAGGACACTAACACAGAATAAACTGGGAATCACACAGCTGAAAGCAATGAATCAACGGCTTCTGAAATAAAGAAACAGCTGCAGAAAGGTATAGA